TAACTTTTGCGATGAAACCCTTTGTACTGCCACGCCCTGTGTTTCCGCTTTAGCGGGGTGTGACAGGAACCAACAAAGAAGGAGAATAAGTATTGTTTCAAGAATGAAGATCTTTTTTTTGAAAAAGAATTCAAAAATTACAGGTATATTTCAAAAATGAAGCTTTGTATTTGTGCTTGATTACATACGTGGTGCAAATGAACCAAGAAGGAAAAAAGAATTCGTTCAAGAATGTAAAAAAAAAGATTTTTATTATTTTGATGTATTTCACTTTCTAATTGTATTTTAAGTTCATTATCACAAAAGTGTTATCACATTCTGAAAGACTATCGTAATATTATACCATTTTAACATTGGAAAGAAATGTTATTGTTCTTGTGCTAAGAGAATGATTCAAAAAAAATTATTATTTTATTGTTGATATTCTCAAAGAATATCATCCTAAGAGAATGTAATTCTGACGTAATAAAATCGGTTATGATTAAAATTTACATTAGAATTGAAACCGAATTAATTTAAAAAAAAAATCAGATTTTTAAAATTAGGAGAATCAAGAATCCCTTAAAATTCGAAAATTTCCTTTATTAAATATCGTTTAATTGACTTAAATACTCTTTTAATGAAATTTGATTGATTATAGGATACATGTTACCCCATTGTAATATCATAGACCATCAACAAAATTGCAAAAATGGTCCCTGTGGTATGTATTTTTTTGGGGTTTTGGTCCAAACCCCGACTTTTTTGGATTTGTGGTCCTTTTGGCCATGTTTGTATGTAGATTTGGTCCCTCGTAAAATTGAAATGACTAAATTGCCCTTATTAGATTTATTTTCCATTTTCTTTTTTTAAAAGTATTTTTATATATTAAATAAAGATAGTCTCTCTCTCTCTCTCTCTCTCTCCCTCTCTCACACACACACGCACGCACGCACGCACACACACACACATACACTTCCCCCTCCCCACCTTCTTCATTTACAGTCAAGAACACCCCACCAGAGGTGGAGCTGTTTTCCGGCCACCAAGAAACACCGCTGCCACCATCCATCTTTCCACCTCTTTGAATCACATTCTTAACCCCAAATTGAAACTCGGTGGAATGGTGGGTCGCATGTGGCGGACTGCAACAACGGTGGCGGACTGCAAGGACGGTGGAAGGGCAGTGACGGCGATGGGTGGCTGCGGTTGGTGGTTGTGGGCGGCCTTGCTGCTTTATTTCTATTGGCGGATGCTCGACGAGGGACCAAGACGAAGCAGCAACGACAATGTCGTTTGGTGGTGATGGGTTACGACAGGATGGAGGCGTTTGGTGGGTGGTGAACTCGGTTTTGCCAACGGTGGGTGGTGACGGAGCTATGGTGGCAGCTTCACTGCCTTCGTTTCCTTTCTATTCAGGTGAGCTCGACAAGAAAGAGGACAAAGAGGAACAAGGCTATAGTCCAGAGGTGTTTGGGAAGGGTGTTTGCTGGTGGTGGGTCAGGACATGGGGAGGTGGAGGAGGTGTTCGAAAAATTAGGTGGGTTAAGATGTGGTGGCAGTTTGCTCCAATCAGTAGCAAGAGGGGGAAGAACACGGTGGTGTAGGGTGGTGCCTAGCAGACGAGGGTGGTTTCCGGTGGGGTTGTAATGGTTTATGGCGGCAATCGTGGTGGTGAGCAGCCTAGACTGGTGTTACAATCACCGGTGCTTTCTTTCCTTCAACTGGTGAGAGAGAGAGAGAGAGAGAGAGAGAGAGAGAGAGAGAGAGAGAGAGAGAGAGAGAGAGCGGTGGGTCCCATAATTTTTATTAATAAAACTTTATATTAAATAGAAAAAAACATAGAAAATGTATCAGAAGGGTATTTTTGTCTTTTTAATTTTACGAGAGACCAGAACCACAAACAAAGTAGCTCAAAAGAACCGCCAATCGAAAAAAGTCAGGATTTGGACCAAAACCCCAAAAAAATACATACAACAGAGACTATTTTTGCAATTTTGTCTAGACCATCGCATCATAGCCACTCATTCTTTTCATCTGTTGGTCCAGAATTGTCCTTACGATAGATGTAATCCAAAATATAACCTAACCCTATATATATATATATATATATATATATATATATATATATATATATATGTTTCAGCTTTAGTTATTCAAATAGCGGAGAAACTGGATGGCGTAATTACTGAAATGAGTAAAGATAAAAACATTAGTTATTATATTCTATAATCGTTATAGGATGAAATTTTATATCAATCTTTTATATGGTCTAAACAATAGCAAGGACTGGCAATTCATTGATTTGACATTTACCTTTTGGGTTTTGATTAATCAACAAATAATGGAATTGTAGTTATAACGAGAAGTATATGAATATCACTGGGAGGCCATAAAAATAGCAAAAATAATACGAAGCAAATTTGAGCAAGCTCCACAGGTATGAAGTTTTAAGTGTATGAAAAAAGAAGACCATTATCAAGTAACTTTTTAATACGAAAATTCGACCACATCTATTCTTTCTTCAATCAACACCTCCCATCAAAAATTCAGCTGAAAACAAAAGCAAATGAATTAATGAAACTATCAGAATCTACACTCAGAAAAGAGCAACTCAATTTACTCTTTACCAATACTGGCAAACATTATAAAGACGTATGAGACATACCCAAAAGATCTTTCACCGAGTATGAGCAATTGACTGATGAGGTGGCGACCGAGAAAACGACCTAGATGGTGGGCCCGCATCCTCCGTGGCTCGCTTCTCATGAGGACTACCCTTAACTTCCTGAAAAACCGGGTCCCGCCCATTTCTCTGAGGACTTCTAGAATAATTCCGTGACTTTCTACCATCACGAGGCGATCGAGACCTCGACCTCGACCTCGAGCGTTCGGGCACAAACTTATCCCGGGCTCTACGATCTCGATTGCTGCACATAAAAAGACCAAATTGCCCCTAATGTACCATGATAAACAGATAAAAAAAAAAGACCATTTTGCCCCTAACGTAGCGTGAGACTAGTTTTTTTACCCTTAATGTATGTATGTATGTGTGGGTATAAATTATAATGCGGTTTGGGACCTTTACCTGACAAGTTGCTAAAAATTTGGATGATTAAAGATTAACTTTTATGCTTTAGGCTTCAATAAAACTTGGAAGGATTGGAAATCTTTTCTTTTGCGGTATCAGTATCAGTATCAGTATCATCTCTCTAGATTCCCAACATTACTTTTATCATGTCAATGTCACTGTGACAGACCAGACTGATGAATAACATTTCCATTCAAACTTCCATTCTCGTGGGGCCCAACTTTAATCTTTACATTCTTTCTCGACTGTTGGTATGCAAAGCAATAATATATTAAACTTTAAATTCAACATCAGATACAGATATAAAAGCCCTAAATGCAACAAATACCAACATACTTTTTTCGTCTCCTTTGACTTTTCTCTTATTGCCACATTGTACTTTGAAAATTTTACATGATTTTTTCTTATTATAACATTGTAAACTTCTAATTTGTTTCTTATTATGACATTATATTTTGAAAAGTCTGCCCATTTATAGCAATGGAAATTGTTTTGTATTTGGATGGTGTGTGGAAGTGTGGTGTTGTAATTGGAAGAAATGAAAGTAGAATGTTGTAGAAAATAAATCAATGAAAAGTACATTGTTATTTCTTGCATTTAACCCAATATCTAATGTTGGCACTGAAAGAGGAGAGAGTCCAATTTGTAAGCACCAGAGCCTAAAATATATCAAATTTTACTCTAGCTACAAAGTTAAGACACTAAATTCAAAATATAACAAAAAATTGGAAACTCCATCATACTCTTTCTATATTATCCTTCAATTATGACACCTTATAACATATAATACAGAATACTTGCTGTTGATAAGTGACTTGAATCCAAGTTGGTTTAAGGGGGTGGTTTTGTCATTTCAATTTTAATTTTTTAAAGTCAGCATTCTCTCTTTCAGTTAATAGTTAGCTAGCAGTTAGTAGTGTTAGTTTTTTACTTCACAATTAAAACAAAACATGTTGCATTGCACCATGCCAGAATAATAAATCACAACCTTGCATTGGACAAATATACAAAAGCATTTGTACTTCCACTATTTTATTAATTTAGCCGCTTGACTATTTTCTGTAGTAATTAAAACATTATACCTTTTTTACTTTAAAGAAAAAAACATTTTTTCTTGGTTGCCAGGAAAACTCCTTTAATTGATAAAACTCCTATCTATGTGGGATATGAGAAGTATGCAACAGGAAAAAAAAAAATCATTAAGCAAGGTTTAGGAAGTAATAAAGAGAGGGTAAAATTGGAGTATATAAAAGAGATTAAGTTGAAGTTACCTTTTTATCTTTAACTTAGATCAAAAAATAACAGACATGAAATCACTAAAAAAAAAGTGCAGAAATGCAGAGCATATCTCAAAAAAATCTACACTCTTAAGGCTTTGAAATTGTAATACATAACAAGCCAAAATAAAATACAGAATTAAAAAGATTAAGAAGATGATCCTAACCTGAATTCACGTCTGGCAGGTGATAAAGAGCGTGAATATGCTGTTTTTAAAGAGAAATAAATCAGCTGTAATATTCGATAAATGAGACATAATATTAGATGAGATGAGTGGAAAAAGTTTAAATGAAACTAACAGCGGCGTCTAGAAATCCTAGGTGGGCTCCGCCTACCAGACCCTCCTCCATAACGCCCACTGAAAGAGATAAATATATGTTACTACTAAAAGTAACTATCGTTGTCATTAACTATTAAATAACAATTCATATACTAAGTTGTGTTGTGTGTGATGATTTTTCAAATATTAAACATTGCGTTCAAAAATTTTAATTTGATGTTATTTTAGCTGTTATTATTTTTAACTAATTTAAACCCTACTTTGAAAAGTTTTCGTTATTATAAAGAACAGTTTTTCGGCGACTTTTGATTGTTTTAGTTGATTTGGCATTTTGATATAGGTTTTACAATTAGAACTATATATATATATATA